TTGCGGCGGGTGTGCTATCATAACCTTCATCTTTTTGGCGTTATCTTGTAACCTCACTCGCACAAAAGTATTGCACACGCTTTCAGGGAGCCTCAGTAGACCACTTGCTAAATCGCTCAGCAGTATAACATAATCGGCATACTGAAGGTTCGGTAGGAATACTGTCGTTATCTCGAGCTGCGTCGCTGCCTAATGTTCGTTTTCTCGCTTTTACTTGGGATGACGCGCTTCCGCAAAATGTAGTCTGCCATGATATTGAATGACAAACTAGAGAGCTTCTCCCCTTGACGTTCTTCACTGGTAATGCTGAACCAGATCGTGAGTGATCCTTCAAACCGGACGGCGCATTTAGTTCCCTCATGCAGGACCATCATTTCCGGTTTACCATCGCCAGCAGAATGCTGTAGTGATGAATAACACATCTCATTCTCTGACGATGAACTGAATCGAATGCTGCCCAGAAGTCCAGAAGCATGGCATGTCAGGGAAGTTGCACGCTCCAACGCTGCTCAGTGATTCGTTTCAGCATTGAGGTGCTGAAGTGCGTTCCTAAGTGCCCACGTCGGAAGTCTGTTTGGTTAGTGCGCAGCGAACGATCGGTATATGCCCGTACTCATGCGAGAGTGATTCGTTTAAACATGTGCACACGTGATCTTCGTGAGTTTTTGACAATTACCTTGTTGGTTATCAGTGACGATCCATAAAGCCATATATTTTATGCTTTACAACAACAGTGGAACGTAGGATTTTGTTATCTCTAGTGAGTATATTTTTAGTAAGCCGGTCTTTCCATGGTTTATTTGTGCAGAAGCATTTGCTACTTGTGTACTGTTTTAAAAATGGCTTTTGTTTCAGTCTAGTATTGGTTGTTCCTGTACCACTCTTATCAGTGGTTGTCTCCTTTTGATTAAACGATTATATGGAGATGTTCTCATTTAAGATACGCATATTCTGACAGAATGTTGTGAATAGTTCTTTAAGGTCCTAAAAATTTCATCGTTTTATGCAACTTTTTCGAGCATTAAAGTGCTCATTAGCTGATGAAGCCAACATAAACAGTATAAGGTATCATTAACGAATAAGTTAAGTGCATTTATATTTCCTTTTCTTTCTTTGCCTTAAAGTAGCATAAATGATGAATGTTGCTGGCTCCCTCTTCTGAAAACATTGTGGATTGCCGCACGACTGATGTGACAGCTGCACAAACAGAGTATGTCGTTACATGTTACATGCTTACGTTCCTGCTTAATAGGTGGATTTCTTGAACGTTGTTAAAGAGAAGGTTAGAAGAATACTGCGGTCATGGGACACGTTTTTTCCTAATGCAGCCGAACATGTAACTTGCAGCGAACATCAAGGAGGTAAGTACGAAAACGGAATGAATCGCTTTCGTCTCTTCGTCAGTCAGCATTGGTTTAATTTTAGTCTTTGAAATCGGCAGTCTCTATACACTAATTGGCTGTGATATGCGCGATGAAGGTCTCAGTGCTAAGCTGATCATGGCTTGCAAGCTGTCGCCAGAGCTGCCCACGTTGTTCATCGCTGAATGCGTACTGAACTATTTGGATCCACGCGAGTAAGCTTTTTTGTTTTAATTTGCTTTCGTATACCCGTGAACTACCAGAAAATGACAGCTGTTTTTGTGCTTATTACGTTAAGTTAGGTATTTTTTAACATTGGTCAAAATACTAACTTTTAGTCACTATGCTACGGAATTCGTAAGCCAGTTGTAATCATAATCTTTCTCTTCCGTGACTGCTTCTCCTTTCTGGTCGCGGAGGCAGAAGTATCAGACTGCTTCCAACGTTCCCTATCCTGTGCCAGAGTCTGGACTTCGGCATAAGACAACCGGAGTCTAGAGCAGGTATATTCCGTACAGTTGCATGAAGTTCATCTTGGCCGTTCCATCGGCCTTCTGCTTGTCGGCTGGGTAGACAGTCATTGCTTCGCCTTCCCTTCTGAAGGTATTCGCAACACGTGCTCATACCATTGCAACCGTGACTTCTCATTCTAAATAAGCAGCGGCTGTACACAATTCTCTAAGATTTCCGTATTCCC